ACGTACATCATCTTCAGCTCTTTGGGGGAAAGGCGAGGTACAAATATAACTAAGAAAAAATGACGGTAGCGGCAGCTGAAGTGTAAGATTTCCCTACTGCAAAATGTTTTACAGTTCATTCCACTAGTTTTGGACTGCAATCTCAAACATAAGGAGTTTATGTCATTAGAGTCTGCCAGCGACTATGCTATGTATTCTTCACTGACATGTATTCATAGCATGGTTTCTGGTGCCCTCTATTGGCCAGTCATAGTAATACATATAAAAAAAATTTTCTGGATTTTTTATTTTAATATTTTTAGAAAAAATTGTTTTTTCTGGATTTTTTATTTTAATATTTTTAATATTTTCAGATCATGGATAAGTGAAACAGTGGATACTGATCCCATGAATAAGGAGGCCCCACTGTATAGCCTTCCTTTGTTAATGCCTTTGATGAACACTTCAGAACATATTTTTTAAACCCACATATTAAAAACAAAACAAAACCGTGAAAGGAATTCATTTTTGAAAAACATCCTTTGTATATGGCTCAAACATACAGTGGTGCCTTGCTTAGTGATTGCTCCGTTGACCGACGAAATCGCTTAGTGACGGGGTTTAAGCTATCGCAAAAGCGATTGCTTAGCGATGGTCCCTATGGGGAAAATTCGCTTTGTGATGATCGCAGGGAAGCGATCACCGCAAAGCCCCCATTTTCGGCCAGCTGATCGGCGGTTTCAGAATGGCCGCTGGAAAAACAAAATGGCCACCCGCTATGTTGCCTCGCTTTAGAGGCACCGAAAATGGCTGCCCCTGTGGAGGATTTTCATTTAAGGTTAGTTTTGAAGCCCATAGGGACACATTAATGGTGTTTTAATGTGTTTCTATGGGCTTTTTAAATCTGTTTAGCGATGAAATTGCTTAGCAATGTTTTTTCCTGCACGGATTAACGTCGCTAAGCGAGGCACCACTGTATATGGACTCTGCCAGCATAATAACTCCGTGAACAAAGTTCTAACACTATATAATGATGCAGAGAGCCTTTTCTACACTGAAAATAGGACAACAAAATGCCTGGAACTGTTTACTTACACTCCTTGATAATAATTAATTTGCATCAAATAACTTTATTTTAGAAAGCATGCAATTCTTGTCACAGTGATCAACATGAAAGATGATGTCGTCAAAATGGCTGACACATAAATTGTATGCCTGTCAGCATTTCATAACCAGCCTGGAATGAAATCTAACCATAGAAGAAAGGCATCCCCACATTTTTCCTTTCTTTGGTTTCCTTCCTCGTCGTTTAGTCGTGTCCGACTCTTCGTGACCCCATGGACCAGAGCGTGCCAGGCCCTCCTATCTTTCACTGCCTCCCGTAATTGTGTCAAATTCATCTTGGTTGCTTTGATGACACTGTCCAACCATCTCATCCTCTGTCGTCCCCTTCTCCTCTTGCTGTCACACTTTCTTAACATCAAAGTCTTTTCCAAGGAGTCTTCTCTTCTCATGAGATGGCCAAAGTACTGGAGCCTCAGCACCAGGATCCATCCTTCCAGTGAACATTCAGGGTTGATTTCCTTTAGAAATGATAGGTTTGTTCTCCTTGTAGTCCAGGGAGCTCTCAAGAGCCTCCTCCAACACCACAATTCAAAGGCATCAATTCTTCGGCGGTCTGCTTTTTTTATGGTCCAGCTCTCACTTCCATACATCACTACTGGAAAAACCATAGCTTTGACTATTCAGACTTTTGTTGACAAGGTGATGTCTCTGCTTTTTAAGATACTGTCAAGGTTTGTCATCGCTTTCCTCCCAAGAAGCAGGTGTCTTTTAATTTTGTGGCTGCTGTCTCCATCTGCAGTGATCATGGAGCCCAAGAAAATAAAATCTGTCACTGCCTCCATATCTTCCCCTTCTATTTCCCAGGAGGTGATGGGACCAGGGGCCATGATCTTAGTTTTTTTTGATGTTGAGTTTCGGGCCGTTTTTTGCACTTTCTTCTTTCACCCTCATTACAAGGTTTTTAAATTCCTCCTCATTTTCTGCCATCAGAGTGGTATCATCTGCATATTGGAGGTTGATATTTCTTCTGGCAATCTTAATTCCGGCTTGGGATTCCTCCAGTCCAGCCTTCCGCATGATGTATTCTGCATATAGGTTAAATAAGGTGGGGGACAATACATCGCTACTGGAAAAACTACAGCTTTGACTATGAGGTGGGGAGACTGAAGCGAAATGAAACACCAGTGACGAAAATGCTTAGTGTTTCATTTTGCTTCGTGAAAGTGTGTTTCCCCAAACTGCCCATGAAACAAACCACAAACTGGGCTAATTTGTGGGTGGTTTTGTTTTGTTTTTGGTCTGTGGTTCATTTTGTGCCCATCTCCAGTTATCACTGTGATTGTTACTGTGATTGTTATTTAGGTTGAAGGTCTCTGCCCCAAGTGACAGAGGGATGTTGCTTGTAGAAAAGTTGGGGATTAGATACACTACTTGGTGTTTTGTCTTTTTGCTGTTTAAAAGTGTAAGCTTGCTCTCCTACGTTTGGGGGTTGTGTGGGGATAACGAAAGCTCCATTGTGATGGACATTTCAAGCATACTTTAAGTTGACATCATCAGAGTATCTACTCTCGCTTGCCTTCTCTGTAAACATGTCCTTATACTTTTGCCCCCATCATGTTACTTCTGTTTGTTTCCTCATGGTAATGATTGCTCTGGAACATTAATATATTCTACATTAATCTAGAATATTACTCTAACTGCCTTTAAAAAGAGTGAAAAAGTACCCCCTTAACTGTCTGATTTCATGTCTTACTGCTTTGGAATATCAGCTGGAGCGCACATTTTTCTGTGTGTGAAGTACAGACAGGAGGCTAATTGCAAGATTCAGATTATGGGATGAAAGAAAGTTAAACCTTTTCTCCGACATCACAGTTTCAGTCACAATCACTTTTTCTCTGAGCTGCCATTAGCCCTGGAATGGAAGTTGTGGAGTTATCAGCATGTTTGATTATGTGGTGGGGGAAGAACTTCCCTTTCCACCCCTCTGTTCCTGCCCACTTTAGTCCTCCTGATTGTAATCTGATAGTTCCATGTCTTCTATTTAAACTATTAAAAATAAACAGCGCTTTGTTAACAATCAGTTCACTAGCTCTAATTTGTCAACACTTCCAACTAAAAGTTCTTGTTTTAGTTGTTAGATGGTATTACGTTATTCTTTTAGCATGACTAACATTCCTTGTTAGTACAGGTCATTGCTTTTTTTGGTAATTTTTCATGGTTGTAGCTATTGGTAATTTAGGAAGATTGATTTAATGATTTAACTGACAAATTAATGAATTAATTTCATAACCCTTTTCTGGGCTAGTAATAAGAAATGAATTTTCTTCATCAATCTAAAATTAACAAGTTAGTACTAAGATGAACACTTCTAGGTTATGAGAATAATTGCACATTATGTTCACACAATTCACATAATACGCAGTTCATCTCTATGTGCCAAGAATCTAAATTATAAGATTGTTTAAGTAAGTATATGTAAGTGAACAGGAAGGGTTGGGAATGTAGGTGTTTTGGCAGGGAAAATCATACCTTTTTGGTTCTGGTGCTCTAGGTTCTGTTTAAATATTCAATGTGTTGGTTTTAGCCTTGTCACAAATAGTATTACAAGTCATAACTGACAGGCAGAATAATAAGATTCTTACTAATTTTAAATTCCCTCACTGAGTTAGATATTTATGTATTTATTTAAAATATTTTTACTCCGCCATTCTCCTTAAAAAGAGCCCAAGGCAGTCCACATCATTAAAAGACAGTATTTAAAGCAACCATGGTGAATATACAAATACAAACAGACTCAAACAAATACTATACTAAAAAACATAAGCAACACCAAAACACAGTCAGAGCAGTAAGGTACAACAAGCTACAACTCTACTCAGGCAGCCAGGCACTCAGGGAAAGCTTACCTGAAGAGAAATGTCTTCCCTAGCTTGTGGAAAGACAGTAAAGATGGGCCAGCTTAGCCTCCTGTAGGAGGGAGTTCCAGAGTCTGGGAGCAGCAAGAAAGGAGACTCTCTCCTATGCACCCACCAAGTGCACCTGTGAAAGTGATGGGACCAAGACAAAGGCCTCTCTTTATTATTTTAACGAGTAGGCTTATAAAGGGAGTTGTGGTCCTTGAGATAGCTTGGGCCCAAGCAGTTTAGGGCTTTATAGGTTAGAAACCATGTTAATGTGATTGTTTCTGCTACAGTACTATATAAAGCAGATCTTCTGCATAACACCTTAATTTTTTTTTTTGGTTCTGTACAGCTGATAGTAGGCTTTGCACAAGAGATCATCAGGGTGATAGTTCAATAATATATTTAGTAGTGCTGTCTTTATGGTATCTGTGTCCTTCTAGATGTTACCACCTCTGCTTTTGTCATGTATAACAAATAGTTCACTGCACTGTATTGACCATAGATGTTTTGGTTAGTGTGTACATTGACATGCTATGTGAATATGTATTATACCAAGAGGTGCAGCTGATTGAGCATGTTGAGAAATTCACTTCATTAAAAGTATTTTTGGTATACAAAATGTGGCTTTAATTTTTAATTGGAACCAGTACCATCTCTGGTTTCACAAATGAAATGGTTCAGAAGACTTATACCTTTCTTGATTGGGCCTTTGAACATCACAGTGCAGAGTCAATACAAATTTTTCTACTTTCTAGCTTGTTCCAAAATTAGAGCAACTCAAAATCTCAGATTCCAACCCCCTCCCTGTTCATGCCCTCAAAATGTGCGCCAGTGACTTGAATAACATATTGGTTTGTTTTTCACAATCCATAATTACATCATTTGTGAAACTGAAATTAGTGTTTCAAAACACGACAGGTATGTAGAAAAAAACCAATACCTTTGTGATTGTGAACATTAATATTTTTTTTTTCATTTTAAGGAAATTTTCAATTTGAGAAAATACCGATCTCATAAATTCATTCTCTCCCATCTCTTCTCTTGCTTCTCCAGACCAAGATGAGAGAGCTGCAGAATTAAGCAGAGACCAAAATGAAAAAACCATACGCAGTACCCAGACAGCACTCCGTAATTTCAGGGAGTTTCTTATCTCTAAATATCCCTCGGAAACCAGGGAGATCTATATAATTCCTTGCAAAGAGCTGGATGCTTACTTAGCGTCATTCTTTGTTGATGCCCGGCAGAAGGACGGCTCGGAATATGAGCCAAATAGTTTAGCCAACTACCAATGTGGTTTAGAACGGTACCTCAAGGAGCACAGATACGGATACAGTATTACTAGGGACAAGGAATTCAAGCGGTCTCAAGAAGCACTGAAGCAAAAGCAGATGGAATTGAGGTGCAAAGGGAAGGGCAACAAGCCACACAAATCAATGAAGCTTACCTTCGCAGATGAGCTTATCCTACGCAAAAGAGGTCTGCTGAGCCGATATAATCCCGAGGGACTGCTAAACCTGGTCTGGCTTAATAATACCAAGGCATTCGGCCATTGCACAGGCTTTCACGGGTCTACCCTCAAATGGGGGGACATCCGGCTTCGGGTGACAGAGACTGGTTTGGAATATTTGGAATGGATGGGTCAAGATAGCACTGACGGAAATATCAAAACCAAGAGAGCAGGCACAGACTCAAGAGTGTATGCGACACAGCATGCTCCGCAGACCTGCCCTGTGCAGGACTACAAGGAGTATGCACAACGGCGCCCCCCTGCAATGAGGTATGAGGATGCCCCTTTCTACTTGTCCATCAAACCGGTGGTTAATCTGGCTGCACTTCATTGGTACAATTGTCAAGCTCTGGGTAAGAACAAGTTGGCTAAGATGGTCAAGACTATGTGTGAGAAGGGGAACATCCCGGGCAGAAAAACCAACTTCAGCGTATACCAGAGTTGCAGCACGCTCTCTGAAGCTCAAAGTAACCAACTGGTATTGATCTGCAACAATTTAAGCCAACAGGCTGCTCAGTCAATGGCGAGCCATTCCAGTTCTGGCAACTTCATAGTATCTGCGTCTTATGACTCTTCATCAGATACTGCTTGAAAAATCTCTACTATAGTTGGGAACATTCTGGACTTGAGCCGAACAGCATGCATATGCATCAACTGTGACACTAAAATACCTTCCTGACTCATCTCCCCCCCCCCACGTTCATTCACTTTATTAAAACAAATAATATATATTTTTCTTTTTATATATATAAATATGTGAATACAACTAGTTTAGTATAACTTATATAGTATTTATAGTGCTAATATATGGAAGAAATGGAGCCTACAAGTGGAGTGCATATATAACCACATATTTTAAAAAAAGAGAAATAGTTTTCAGCCTTAAAAGGGATAGACCGTGATCTCTAGGCACAATCAACACTGCAAATGGAAACCATGGCTTGCCTCAGAGTATAATGGAAAAAAAACATTTAAAGCAGGATACCTAGTGTGGTATAGTGCAATGGTCCCCAGTCTTGGGCCTCCAGGTGTTCTTGGACTTCAACTCCCAGAAATCCTGGCCAGCATAAATGGTGGTGAAGGCTTCTGGGAGTTGTAGTCCAAGAACATCTGGAGGTCCAAGGTTGGGGGCCACTGGTATAGTGGATAGAGTGATGGACTAGGACTCAGGAAGCCTTGTTTCAAATTTCCACACAGCTACGGAAACTCACTGGGGTTGTGGTGCTGGTAAATAATAATAAATAATTGTATGCTGTCTAGTCAATTCTGAGTTATAGCAACCGTTTTTAAAGTTTTTTTAGATAGAGAGTACTCAGAGGCAGTTTACCGTTCCCTTCTAGGGGCATCCTGGGACTGTGCAGCTTGCCCGTGGCCACACAGGCTGGCTTTTCTGGTACACACAGTGGAGAACTGAACTCCCACTTTTGGCTTTGCAGCCAGTTATCTGATTCATAGAGCTATTCAGCAGAGGAACTTGTAAAACCACTCCTAAAATATCTCACTTACGTTGAAAGCCATATTAGGGGGTTGCTATAGGTCAGTTCCGACTTGATAACACATATCATAGAATCACAGAATAATGGAGTTGGAAGGTGAATATAATGCCATTGACTCCAACCCAGGATTCCTGAATGCAGGAATCCAAAGTATATCTGACAATTGGTTGTCTAATTTTCTCTTGAATTATTAAATTATTGTCTGCTTTAAGCTATGTTAAATAACATCACAAGCTTTCTCTTCTTTATAGAATTGTTTCCCATGGTTCTTTGGTTCAGAAACGTGCCAAGTAAATAGATATAAAGCTGCTTTAAATTTGTGGTGTGGATACATCTTGAGAAGATCGTTTGTGGAGACAACAATGTTCATAAAGGGGACCTGATTACAGCAGACATTTTCTGCATGATCTCTGTGGCAATGGATGGAATGAGATACCCAAGAGTGTTTTTATGCATTTCTTCTTCTTGGCACTGAGGTTCTGCCAAAAACACTGGCACTGGATTGTTCCCAAAACGCATCACTAGCACTTAAACTCTTTTGTAAAAGAGTATAAGTTTCCCATGACAGCTCATGCTTTTGGAAATTTGAGGTATTAATGGCACATTCATTCAGATTCGGGGCGAGGGAGAAGAAAGACAGTAAGAGATGCTGTTTACTTATTGTTTTGCTCGGCGGGGGGAATAAGATGATCAACAGAGTAAAAAATATCAATGATCTTCTGAAAAACTGAATGCTTACAACAGTGATTCCCAAACTGTTCAACATCAGCTTTTGATTTCAAAAAATCCTCATCCTTCCCCACCTCTTTTTTAAAAAAATCTTCATCCAATTCCATTTTAGCACAAACAAATAAATAATGAGTATTTTAAAGTTAGGAACTTAATAACATTATAAGCACAAATAGATTTTTCTGGATAATTCTAAATTCTAGAAACGGTATCTATTATAGAAATTTGTTTAAGCTGTTTTTTTTAAAAAAAATCTTTATGAAAATTTCAGTCTTACTTGGCCTTTCTTCAACCCCCATCCAGAGCGCACACACCAGTGTAGGAGATCTGTTTGCTGCTGCCCCCCCCAAAAAAAACTTATTGGCAAACAAGCAGAGTGTTATTCAAAGAAATATTTAAAAAAGGAAAAGAGAATTTGCAGTCTCAACCATGTGGGAGACTCAGTCTACCATGTAGCTATAGTACATGCGTCGAGGTCAGGAGCAGAGAATTACATATCTGCTTTTGTTGGAGGCTAAAGAAGAAGAGACCAAACAAATGGAAATTAAGCAAACAAACAAAGAGAGGAGCAACAAGCCAGAGGTAGGGGAAAAACTTTTGGTTAGTGTCAAGGCATATTTAGGCTGTGAAGCCCCCTTCCCACGGAAATCTAGTATCAGGTTACATGCAGGATTGTTAATCTTGCTTGCTGGTGCTTGTATTTTTAGCTCTCCCAGACTGAATCCAATATTATTTTCAAGTCTCCTCAAAAGTTCTTGCAATTACAGTAAATCTATAGCTATGCTATGCAGCTAATACCTTGTGTATACTACTGGACAAAGCATTTAAGTTCTGGCACTTCATGTTAACTGAGATATAAAGCTAATACCTGGGGCCATCACTCTTCCACGCTGTAAGCAGTGCTTTTACTGAAACAAGTGGAAGGCTGATTTGTATTGTCCAAGGAACATAATTTAACACAGATGGGGAACATCCAGCACTCTGGGGCCAGCAGCATAGATCCACTGAGACAACTTCTATATAAATCCCATTGAGTCAGTGGGTTTACTCTAGTTGTAGCTCACAACATATATTGTAGTAGTGATGTTTTTCACTACTACATCCAAGTCCAGACCTGGAAAGTGAGTGTCTCCTTTCCTTTTGGTTGCATTTTCCTTCACTGTCACTATCTATCCCAATTTCAGTGAGAGCTGTATTTTACTTAGCTTTAATTAGGGGAAGGATGCAGGCAGGACTGAGAAATCTAAAAGTGGCCACTGAGTCACCTTTTACGGATCAATGGCTAGAAGTATACAGTATTTGGTATTAGATTGCAGTGGGGTCTCTACTTAAGAACTTAATCCGTATTGGAAGGTGGTTCTCAAGTTGAAAAGTTCTTATGTTGAATCTGCATTTCCCATAGGAATGCATTGAAAACCATTTAATCCG